GGAAGTTCTCTGCACAGAAAAAAAATATTATATTTTACTGTTTTTTAAACCAAACTGACAAGTTTCTCCAGTAAAATTATTGTGTAATTTAAAGGCACTGAAACACCTGGTTAAATTTAGAAGGTATTATGATTAACTACAAACATCTGAAGCTGACTCAGAGAACTCTGTGATTTTAGAAAAAATAAAAGTCAAATGTAGACACGTCTTTAAAAGACCCCCTCCTCACCACCCCATGCAGCTGCGGTCAGCGAACCTCCACCCCATTCGCGTGATTAATACTGATTTTTTTGTGCAAATTACAAATTTTTGACGCTGATTATACACCCCTACCATTACCCCCCCCGCCTGAATAATGGTAGGGGAAACACTGAAATATTTGTTAGCAAACCTGATTACATTTTGTGTAAAAAAGCTTAGATGCTGAATGGATGTTTTATTTGTAACTTATTTGCCAGTTCACACAGAGATATTTTTTTTACATTGAACATTTTTGAACTAAGGCTGGGCGATATGGCTGAAAACTGTATCACAATATTTCAGTTAATATCTATAATTTTTATTTTACCCATTTGAAGTCCAGAGACCAGGAGAATAAAGGCTGAATATTTCTGTCAAACTGGTGACATGACCTTTCCTCTTTTAACCAGTATTTTCTCTCAAGCTGTTGCCTCATTTTTCTTCTTTCACTCCACTTGTCCTGTTTCTACAATCATCACTCCCTGTAGTAACAGAACTTGTAGACAGAGAGATTTTAATAGTCAGGAAGGCGTTCATTTCTGTTGACATTCAGTTTTTTATCTTTGGATAATATTTGGGAAACCGTTGATTCAATCAATCAATCAAACTTTATATAACATCAGGCACTGCTGAAACAAAGTGCTGAACACATGAAATAAAAACTGAATACAAAAACACAATAAAATCACACAGTTATATAAGTAAAATCAGCACTAACACAGTAAAAGTTGAGTAAAATCAAATCTCAGTTGGGTTGAAGGTCAGTGAGAAAAAATAAGTTTTTAAACGAGTCTTAAAAATGGACAGTGAAGGGGCCTGTCGGACATGCAAGGGCAAGGCGTTCCACAGTTTAGGGGCACTAACAGAGAAGGCCCTATCTCCTCTGAGCTTCTGTTTAGAACTGGGAATGACCAGGAGCAGCTGGTCAGCAGACCTGAGTGACCGAGGAGGAGGGTGTGAATTGAGTTTAGGTTAGTTTTAGGGTCAGGAAGGTACCTGTGAGGTTAGCCTTAGGG